CTTTCCTACACTCACTAACACTTTCCAACACTCACCAACACTTTCCTACACTCACCAACACAGTCCTACACTCACCGACACTTTCCTACACTCACCAACACTTTCCTACACTCACCAACACTTTCCTACACTCACCAACACAGTCCTACACTCACCAACACTTTCCTACACTCACCAACACCGTTCTACACTCACCAACACTTTCCTACACTCACCAACACAGTCCTACACTCACCAACACTTTCCTACACTCACCAACACCGTTCTACACTCACCAACACTTTCCTACACTCACCAACACTTTCCTACACTCACCAACACTTTTCTACACTCACCAACACCGTTCTACACTCACCAACACTTTCCTACACTCACCAACACTTTCCTACACTCACCAACACTTTCCTACACTCACGAACACTGTCCTACACTCACCAACACAGTCCTACACCCACCAACACTTTCCTACACTCACCAACACAGTCCTACACTCACCAACACTTTCCTACACTCACCAACACAGTCCTACACTCACCAACACTTTCCTACACTCACCAACACTTTCCTACACTCACCAATACCGTTCTACACTCACCAACACTTTCCTACACTCACCAACACTTTCCTACACTCGCCAACACTTTCCTACACTCACCAACACTTTCCTACACTCACCAATACTTTCCTACACTCACCAACACTTTCCTACACTCGCCAACACTGTCCTACACTCACCAACACAGTCCTACACCCACCAACACAGTCCTACACTCACCAATACTTTCCTACACTCACCAACACTTTCCTACACTCTCCAATACTTTCCAACACTCACCAATACTTTCCTACACTCACCAACACTTTCCTACACTCACCAACACTTTCCTACACTCACCAACACAGTCCTACACCCACCAACACAGTCCTACACTCACCAATACTTTCCTACACTCACCAACACTTTCCTACACTCACCAATACTTTCCTACACTCACCAATACTTTCCTACACTCACCAACACTTTCCTACACTCACCAACACTTTCCTACACTCGCCAACACTGTCCTACACTCACCAACACAGTCCTACACCCACCAACACAGTCCTACACTCACCAACACTTTCCTACACTCACCAACACTTTCCTACACTCACCAACACCGTTCTACACTCACCAACACTTTCCTACACTCACCAACACTTTCCTACACTCGCCAACACTTTCCTACACTCACCAACACTTTCCTACACTCACCAATACTTTCCTACACTCACCAACACTTTCCTACACTCGCCAACACTGTCCTACACTCGCCAACACTGTCCTACACTCACCATCACAGTCCTACACCCACCAACACTTTCCTACACTCACCAACACTTTCCTACACTCACCAACACTTTCCTACACTCACCAACACTTTCCTACACCCACCAACACAGTCCTACACTCACCAACACTTTCCTACACTCACCAACACAGTCCTACACTCACCAACACAGTCCTACACTCACCAACACTTTCCTACACTCACCAACACTTTCCTACACTCACCAACACTTTCCTACACCCACCAACACTTTCCTACACTCACCAACACTTTCCTACACTCACCAACACTTTCCTACACTCGCCAACACTGTCCTACACTCACCAACACAGTCCTACACTCACCAACACAGTCCTACACTCACCAACACAGTCCTACACCCACCAACACTTTCCTACACTCACCAACACAGTCCTACACTCACCAACACTTTCCTACACTCACCAACACAGTCCTACACTCACCAACACTTTCCTACACTCACCAACACTTTCCTACACTCACCAATACCGTTCTACACTCACCAACACTTTCCTACACTCACCAACACTTTCCTACACTCGCCAACACTTTCCTACACTCACCAACACTTTCCTACACTCACCAATACTTTCCTACACTCACCAACACTTTCCTACACTCGCCAACACTGTCCTACACTCACCAACACAGTCCTACACCCACCAACACAGTCCTACACTCACCAATACTTTCCTACACTCACCAACACTTTCCTACACTCTCCAATACTTTCCAACACTCACCAATACTTTCCTACACTCACCAACACTTTCCTACACTCACCAACACTTTCCTACACTCACCAACACAGTCCTACACCCACCAACACAGTCCTACACTCACCAATACTTTCCTACACTCACCAACACTTTCCTACACTCACCAATACTTTCCTACACTCACCAATACTTTCCTACACTCACCAACACTTTCCTACACTCACCAACACTTTCCTACACTCGCCAACACTGTCCTACACTCACCAACACAGTCCTACACCCACCAACACAGTCCTACACTCACCAACACTTTCCTACACTCACCAACACTTTCCTACACTCACCAACACCGTTCTACACTCACCAACACTTTCCTACACTCACCAACACTTTCCTACACTCGCCAACACTTTCCTACACTCACCAACACTTTCCTACACTCACCAATACTTTCCTACACTCACCAACACTTTCCTACACTCGCCAACACTGTCCTACACTCGCCAACACTGTCCTACACTCACCATCACAGTCCTACACCCACCAACACTTTCCTACACTCACCAACACTTTCCTACACTCACCAACACTTTCCTACACTCACCAACACTTTCCTACACCCACCAACACAGTCCTACACTCACCAACACTTTCCTACACTCACCAACACAGTCCTACACTCACCAACACAGTCCTACACTCACCAACACTTTCCTACACTCACCAACACTTTCCTACACTCACCAACACTTTCCTACACCCACCAACACTTTCCTACACTCACCAACACTTTCCTACACTCACCAACACTTTCCTACACTCACCAACACAGTCCTACACTCACCAACACTTTCCTACACTCACCAACACTTTCCTACACCCACATCATGGTTACTCATAAGTATATTTATATAAACACAACTGAAGTGCTTTTCGTCAGTCATGCGTCAAGACAATATAACTGGGAAATTAGCGTGATCATAATTCCTATCAAAATCAATTCCATGTTAGGCTGGGCAAATTTCTACCAATTATTCACGTTAAGCGCCGGCTGTCGGTGATAGGAGACAAGGCGAGTCGATACTGCTGTAACAGGTGCGACAACGCCGACGGGGATCAATATCGTGTCTGCACGGCAGACGTCCATATACTTCATCCCATCAGTTGATATTATTTATTGTATGCAACAATTACCTGGGCGGGGCTTCTAATTGTGCACATTCTTCACGCTGTGTGCTTCACATGTGGCAGGACGCACAGCAGGTGTGTGGTGTTAATAATAATAATAATAATAATAATAATAATAATAATAATAATAAAAAAATAAAGTTCCAACTCGAAACCGTCAATGTGTGATTTTGCATCAAAATGTGAATATGTATGTAGATGAATGAGACTGAGAATGTAATGAGACTGCAGTGTTGGGGAGTCTTCACATTCTCCGAAACGTTCTGGGTGGTTTTAACAAGGCGGAACTTCCTGGGGGAAGTCCCATTCGCTGTCTGGGCTGCGTGTAGAGGGGGCAAGGGTCCTGAGCTGATGATGAGCCTAACCAGCCTGACTGTGCCAGGATCACCCAAACCCTCTTTGCTGCATTATTTTATATTAATCTGTTAATAATAATAATAATAATAATAATAATAATAATAATAATAATAACGACGATGATGAGGATGAAGATAATTATTATTATCATTAGTAGTAGTAGCAGGAGCAGCAGCAGTAGTAGTAGTAGAAGCAGTAGTTGTAGTATTTGCTGTCTGGGATGCGGCTGGGATGAGCCCAACCAGCCGGACTCTGCCAGGGTCACCCAAACCCTCTTTGCTGCATTTATTTATTTGTATCGGTGATATCGGTAACATAATAATAATAATAATAATAATTATAATAATAATAATAAAGAGGTCGTATTTCTGCTTCAATGTTTACCCCGAAAATATTCGAGTTCGAATTGGTATTCAGCGATCAATACTTGTCGTAAGAGGCGACTGATAGGGTCGGGAGATCAGTATCGCTGATTTGGTTGTACATGTAATCGTATCCCAACTGCGCAGAGCGATGGTCCAAATGACAGTCACTGGAATGCCTGGATTCCGATTCATTCACATAGTTGGGACGGTGCTAATCGCGGCCTTAAACAACAAACAAAGAAACAAAGAAACAGAAAACAGAAAAAAGCTGTAATGTATATAAATTAACATACTCGATCGAGAGCCCATTTAGAAAACGTTCCTTGAATACAGACCCCCCCCACACACACACACACAGACACACACACACACACAGACATACACACACACAGACATACACACACACAGACATACACACATACACACAGACATACACACACACAGACATACACACAGACATACATACACACACACACACACACACACACACACACACACACACACACACACACACACACACACACACACACATGTACAACTCGCAGACACACACACACACAGACCCACACACACACACAGACATACACACACACATGTACAACTCGCAGACACACACACACACAGACACACACACACACACACAGACATACACACACACATGTACAACTCGCAGACGTCGTTCTTGCGGGTCTGTGTTGGACACTTATAGACTTACCCGGACTTTGTGTGGCTTTTAACCACTTTCACATATCGCTGATTTCATTTGATATGTAAGCACTTGAACGTACAGCAGACTTTAATCATGTTGAGTAACTGTAATGCTAGCTGGGCAGGTCGGCGGTGTATTAAACCTGACTTCATACATATGTGAAGCCAAGCCACTAGAAGGTGCTTTGCCTGCTACACAATACTCTTTGAACGGTTCACTTCACTATGGGGATGTAACAAAGTGACGGGCCACTTTATGTGATGACTCTCCAGCAACATCAAGTATATCAAGGAGCTGATGTAGAGTGCGGCCACCAGCCTCATCTTGTCGCTCTCGGCTCCAGCGGTTGTCATCTTCCACCGAACACGAGGGAATACTTTCAATATGTTAAATGATCGTCGTCTGTGATGTGCAGCTCAAGGAAGATCTGATGGAGGTGTGTGGAGTTTAGACTTTAAGAAACAGGCGACCTACTTTGGAAATCTTTACTTGTAGGTGTAGAGGCGACTCTGGCGACGTGACAGCGCGTGCATGTGTCTAACTGCACTAGGGAATGTCCGTCCTGTACGTTACATACGTGATCAGAGATCGATATAAACTCATTGCGCAATGTACGTGAAGACCTGTCAGTCACATGCGCTGCGGCGGAGCTCTACCAGGTGTGAGGAGCGTGTACTCCAGATCAATAACACACGCTTGATGAACGGCTGTGGATGGTGGCGTTTAGTTGTGAGTACAGGTCTATAGACGGACACCAGTTGACGGTTACTCCAGCGTTGGTGAGTGTCTGATTGTTCCGGCCGGCAGGATAAGTACCGAAGGAGATCCACGAGTACCTCGCGGGCGTTGTTCTGGAGAGAGCCCTGTGAGAGTTTTGGAGAGAGCCCTGTAAGTGTCCTGGATAGTGTTCTTGTGAAACACATCTCGTCTTTGAAGTCCTCTTGGGACGACTTGGGCTAACAAACCTCCCCGTGGGTTTAGTCCTCCCTTTGTAGGTTTGTACTCCAGATATAACTGATCACGTGGAGTGGATGGTCTGGTGAACTGGTCTTCCAGAGACGTTCTGGTGTGTGATTGTGTCATAGAATCGTTTCATCATGGATAGTAACAGCAGGTGGATTGTGTGTCTGTGCATCGTCTTGGTGGGACCCCCCGGGATGGGAGGGGCGGGGGATGTATGTACACCCCCGGGGGACGCCGTGGTGTGGGACGACGGCTCCACCCCCCGCACCGTCACCGTCGACTGGGGATATGTCAATGTAAGTAAAACCCTTTGTTGATATTGCGTTCATGTTTCAATTTGAACAGGATTCAAGGTACTCCTGAATACAATGATTTACCTGCTTTTATTTACACCTGCATACACCAACACCTACCACTACACTATCCACTATTCACGATCCGCTATCCAATCTATATTCGTTACATATGTACTAAATATACTCGCTACCTACCTACCTCCTACACGCGATACGTGACCCTACACTCCGGGTTTGTTCAAGCAGATGTTCCATGAAATGTTTAGAACTCATTGATTTTCAGCACAATCATTGTTGCAGAGTTTCTTCTGGTAGGTTTTTCTAACTAGAAGATTTCCCAAAGGTTTCACATTTGTGGCGTCTGCAAGTCAGAACATCCGCCGGCTCTCTATCTCACGAAACAACTGAATGTTTTTACCAGAATATACACTGTACCTTCAGTCAAACTAGGGAAATACTGATACACTATCAACAGGTAATCAATATAGACTAGATGCCTGAATCACACAGTCTCGTGGTCATGTTCATGGACTGCGTTGTCAGTATGTGGTGCTGGGTGTGGTGCTGGAGGATCGATGTGGTGCTGGAGGATGGATGTGGTGCTGGAGGATGGATGTGGTGCTGGAGGATGGATGTGGTGCTGGATGATGGATGTGATGCTGGAGGATGGATGTGGTGCTGGAGGATGGATGTGGTGCTGGAGGATGGATGTGGTGCTGGAGGATGGATGTGGTGCTGGAGGATGGATGTGATGCTGTAGGGTGGATGTGGTGCTGGAGGGTGGATGTGGTGCTGTAGGGTGGATGTGGTGCTGGAGGATTGATGTGATGCTGGAGGGTGGATGTGGTGCTGGAGGGTGGATGTGGTGCTGGAGGGTGGATGTGGTTCTGGAGGGTGGATGTGGTGCTGGAGGGTGGATGTGGTTCTGGAGGATGGATGTGGTGCTGGAGGATGGATGTGGTGCTGGAGGATGGATGTGGTGCTGGATGATGGATGTGATGCTGGAGGGTGGATGTGGTGCTGGAGGGTGGATGTGGTGCTGGAGGATTGATGTGATGCTGGAGGGTGGATGTGGTGCTGGAGGGTGGATGTGGTTCTGGAGGGTGGATGTGGTGCTGGAGGATTGATGTGATGCTGGAGGGTGGATGTGGTGCTGGAGGGTGGATGTGGTTCTGGAGGGTGGATGTGGTGCTGGAGGGTGGATGTGGTGCTGGATGATGGATGTGATGCTGGAGGGTGGATGTGGTGCTGGAGGGTGGATGTGGTGCTGGAGGATTGATGTGATGCTGGAGGGTGGATGTGGTGCTGGAGGGTGGATGTGGTTCTGGAGGGTGGATGTGGTGCTGGAGGATTGATGTGATGCTGGAGGGTGGATGTGGTGCTGGAGGGTGGATGTGGTTCTGGAGGGTGGATGTGGTGCTGGAGGGTGGATGTGGTGCTGGATGTGGTGCTGGAGGATGGATGTGGTGCTGGAGGATGGATGTGGTGCTGGATGATGGATGTGATGCTGGAGGATGGATGTGATGCTGGAGGGTGGATGTGGTGCTGGAGGATGGATGTGGTGCTGGAGGATGGATGTGGTGCTGGAGGGTGGATGTGGTGCTGGAGGATGGATGTGATGCTGTAGGGTGGATGTGGTGCTGGAGGGTGGATGTGGTGCTGTAGGGTGGATGTGGTGCTGGAGGATTGATGTGATGCTGGAGGGTGGATGTGGTGCTGGAGGGTGGATGTGGTTCTGGAGGGTGGATGTGGTGCTGGAGGGTGGATGTGGTGCTGGATGTGGTTCTGGAGGATCGATGTGGTGCTGGAGGGTGGATGTGATGCTGTAGGGTGGATGTGGTGCTGGAGGGTGGATGTGGTGCTGGAGGGTGGATGTTGTGCTGGATGTGGTGCTGGAGGATGGATGTGGTGCTGGAGGATGGATGTGGTGCTGGAGGATGGATGTGATGCTGTAGGGTGGATGTGGTGCTGGAGGGTGGATGTGGTGCTGTAGGGTGGATGTGTTGCTGGAGGATTGATGTGATGCTGGAGGGTGGATGTGGTGCTGGAGGGTGGATGTGGTTCTGGAGGGTGGATGTGGTGCTGGAGGGTGGATGTGATGCTGGATGTGGTTCTGGAGGGTGGATGTGGTTCTGGAGGATGGATGTGGTGCTGGAGGGTGGATGTGATGCTGGATGTGGTTCTGGAGGGTGGATGTGGTGCTGGAGGGTGGATGTGGTGCTGGAGGGTGGATGTGGTGCTGGAGGGTGGATGTGGTGCTGGAGGGTGGATGTTGTGCTGGATGTGGTGCTGGATGATGGATGTGATGCTGGATGATGGATGTGGTGCTGGAGGATGAATGTGGTGGTGTAGGGTGGATGTGGTGCTGGAGGGTGGATGTAGTGCTGGAGGGTGGATGTGGTGCTGGAGGATGGATGTGGTACTGGACGATGGATGTGGTGCTGTAGGGTGGTTGTGATGCTGGAGGGTGGATGTGGTGCTGGAGGATGGATGTGGTGCTGAAGGATGGATGTGGTGCTGGAGGGTGGATGTGGTGCTGTAGGGTGGATGTGGTGCTGGAGGATGGATGTGCTTCTTGAGCACCAAGCATCATGAGCTCTTCTTATAATGTTTTTTGAGTATTTGCCGATTAAACAGAATATTCGTAACCCCACAGACGTAATCAGTTTACTACCACATAGATTCATGTTAGTTTGTTCGCGAATGTGTTCTGTCTTTCAGCGATGGAAGCGTGTATTTTTATCTAAATAGTGTTATTAAATACCTCGGCCAAATGGCCTGGAAATGCTATTAAAACCAGTGGTATGCCTACTGAGGATGATGGATGTGTCTGCCTAATGGCTGGAGGCAGTGAGCTACACTGACATCACATAATAGAAACACAACAGCCTTGTTCTTTACCTTGTGCAAGATGTATTTACATGTCGTGAGCACTGGTTGTTCAGCTCTACATACTCCACTGTGCTCAGTGCTACATATCTACACATTATATTGCTGCCGTTGAATGATGATGATGAAGATGATGATGATAATAACGATGTGATGGTGATGGAGATGATGGTGATGATGATGATGATGATGAATATTAGTAGTAGTAGTAGTAGTGTAGTGGTGGTAGTAGTAGTAGTAGTAGTAACACTTATACTACTACTAATACTACTACTAATAATAATAATAAGGAGAGGCTATCTGAACGACCACTGCATCGAGTTTATGTGCAGTGTGTTGAGAAGATCAGCAACCCTGCAGAGACATTCGCTTGGATGAGGTCGGCTGGCCTGAAAAGTGAAACAGAAGGCTTTCTGTTTGCTGCTCAGGACCAGTCACTTCCCACTCAATGTATGATTCTGAATCAAAATGTAAATATGAAATGTAGATTATCCGATGAATTCAATGAGACTGTCCAACACATTGTCAGTGGATGCCAAGCTTTGGCACAAACACAGTATCTGAAGCGACATGACGACGTGGCTCGATCATTTTATTACCGTTTTCGCCAAGCTGGTGGTTTTCACACAGAGGTCTATCCATGGTACGACCCAGAATATGTAGAGGGCGTCATGGAAAATGATAAATACAAAATTGTTTGAAAGCGGCCAGTTTACAGCCTTAGACGTTTCCAGGCCAACAAACCTGATCTTGTCCTTTCTGATAAATCCAATGAAATCATTTATATCATTGAATTTTCTGTCTCTTTTGACACCAATGTGATTGACAAGCTTGAGGATAAACACAGCAAATATCCGGACCTCGCTTTCGAAATGTCACGCTTGCATCCCAAGTACCAAGTTGTCCGACTCCCCATTGTTCTCGGTGCCTTAGGTTTGGTACATCCCAATCTATTGACCGCGTTTGCTGCCAGGAATACAGCCCTTCTGACAATCTGGGTAATGCAGAAGGCTGCAGTGTTGCGGAGACGTCACATTCTCCGAAAAGTGCTGGTTGGGTTTGACTAGGCAGCACTTCCTGGAAGAAGTCCCATTCGCTGTCTGGGCTGCGTGTAGATGGGGCAAGGGCCCTGAGCTGATGATGAACCTAACCAGCCTGACTGTGCCAGGAACATCCAAACCCTCTTTGCTTCATTGCGTATTTTAATCTGTACACAATAAATAAATAATAATAATTTCAATATTTATTTATTTATTTTAAATACCGCAGGTATCTAGGTCAGCATCAGCATCATTCAGCATTTGAGTGTGGATCTTTGTGGAGAATAGCAACGATCCCAAACCGTCCTCAAACATTTAAAATACATTATTCACCACACGAAGACAGCACGACTGCTTCACAGAGCGACGTAAAGCCTTTTATTGGTGATGTATTGCAATAGCCTCATGCCACGCCTTGTCACCCGTAGGCTTATTGTGCAGGTATTTCAAACAGTAGGCATAGCAATAGGTAGGCATATTATGTAGGCACGTCATACAGTAGGCATAGCAATAGGAAGGGTATTATGTGCGCACTTCATGCAGTAGACATAGCAATAGGTAGGCATATTATGTAGGCACGTCTTACAGTAGGCACAGCAATAGGAAGGGTATTATGTGGGCACTTCATGCAGTAGACATAGCAATAGGTAGGCGTATTGTGTAGGCACTTCATGCAGTAGGCATAGCAACAGGTAGGTTATTGTGTAGGCATTTTATACAGTAGACTTAGCAGCAGGTAGGCGTATTGTGTAGGCACGTCATACAGTAGGCATAGTAACATGTAGATTATTGTGTAGGCATTTCATACCATAGGCTTAGCAACAGGTAGACTTATTGTGTAGGCACGTCATACAGTAGGCATAGTAACAGGTAGGTTATTGTGTAGGCACTTCAAACAGTATACTTAGCAATAGGTAGGCTTATTGTGTAGGCACATCATACAGTAGGCATAGCAATATGTTGCTTATTGTGTCGACACTTCATACAGTAGGCACTGCAATAGGTAGGCTTATTGTGTAGGCACTGCCTGTGTGGACATAGCAACAGGAAGGTTGTTGTGTAGGCACTGGA